TGTCACTGTTGGATTTTGTTATCAGGGTAATCTTATTTCCTGAAATGATTGGCTAGAATTTGCCAGTAAAGCCATTTGCCCCTAGGTATTATTTGCTAGTTTTTATCTTTTTTACTTAAATTCAATTTAATTACCATATACTGTTTTATTCATTTCAAAGGTAAAATTTAGTGATTCATCAGTTGCAAACAACACCCAGTGCTAGATGGTTTTTATGTTACATTCAACTTGTTTATAGGACTATCCAGGCTGTCCACTTCTTTTATTTAAAAAAAAAGATTTTATTTATTCATGAGACACACAGAAAAAGGCAGAGACATAGGCAGAGGGAGAAGCAGGATCCTCGAGGGCAGCCTGATGCAGGACTCGATCCCAGGAGCCCAGGATCATGTCCTGAGCCAAAAGCAGTTGCTCAACCACTGAGCCACCCAGGCGTCCCAGACTGTCCACTACTTGTGTACGCTTTGGTGATTTGTCTTTCAAGGAATTCATACATCTTGTTGAAATTGTTAATTTTAGAGGCTTAAAGGTGTTCCTAATACTTACAGGCCCCTTGACACCTGCAAGCCATGCAATGGGTTGACATTCTGGAATTGCTGTTCCTGATGGTTGGCAAAAGGTTATCACTTGCTTGATATAGTTTAATTTCATTTGGATTAGAGGAAAAATACTTTGCATGACTACTTTTAAATTTGGTATGGTTTGCTTTATGGCTCAGAATACAATTTATCTTGGCAAACATTCCAATTGCACTTGAAAGTAATATATATTCAACCACTGTTGAATGAAATTTTCTCTAAATGGCAAATAAGTCAAGTTGGGTGGCAGTGTTGTTCAAGTCTTCTATATCCTTACTGATTTTCTATCTTCTTGTTTTGCCAATTACTAAGAGAACTATTTAGTTTTACAAATATACTTGTGGTTTTCCATAAGTTTTTGCTTCATGAATCTTTAAACTCTGTTGTTAGATGCATATACATTTAGAATTGTATGTTACCTGCTGTACACTTTGTAATATTCCTTGTATGAATTCTTTGTTGATATGAATGTAATAGTCCAGCTTCCTTTGGATTAGTTTTGGATAGCATACCTTTTTTTCTTTTTTTTTTTAGCATAACTTTTTTCATTCTTCATCTTTTAGCCCACTTAACCTCTATATTTAAAAAGAGTTTTTTATAGAAAACATACAGCCTATGTTAGGTTTTGCTTTTTTATCCAGTCTGACAATGTTTTAACTGGTGTGTTTAGAACACTTACATTTAATATAATTATTATCACAGGATTTGAACCTACCATCATGCTAATCTTTACTATTTCCACCATGTGTTATTCAATTTTCCTGCTTTTGGATTGAGTTTTATTTTGTTTTTTAATAATTCCATTTTGTCTCTACTACTGGCTTATTATATACCAGTTTAAATTATTTTTTAAAGATTTATTTATTTATTCATGATAGATACAGACTGAGAGAGAGAGGCAGAGACATAGGCAGAGGGATAAGCAGGCTCCTCGCAGGGAGTCTGATGTGGGACTCGATCCCACATTCTGGGATCAGACCTGAGCCAAAGGCAGGTGCCCAACCGCTGAGCCACCCAGGCATCCCTTTAAATTGTTTTTTAATGGTTATTCTGGGGCTTATAATATACACCTATAATTTTTCACAGTTCACCTTCTAATATTATGCCAATTCATGTGGTATAGAACAGCATACTTCCAATTTCTCTCTGCTCTGTTTTATGGTATTGTTACGTTTTACTTCTTATATAAGCTATAAACTCACAAAATCTTGCTCACATTTTTGGTTTAATGAATATTTTCAAGTGATTAAAAATGAGAAAAATATTTGACTTGATTTTTTTAAAGATTTTATTTACTTATTCATGAGAGACTGAGAGAGAGAGAGAGGCAGAGACACAAGCAGAAGGAGAAGCAGGCTCCATGCAGGGAGCCCAACGGGATCCTGGGACTCCACGATCACACCCTGGGCTGAAGATGGTGCTAAACCGCTGAGCTACCTGGGCTGCCCTTGACTTGATTTTAAGCATTTTCAAAGTCCTTCCTTCCTTCCTTCCTTCCTTCCTTCCTTCCTTCCTTCCTTCCTTCCTTCCTCCCTTCCTCCCTCCCTCCCTCTCTTTCTGATACAAATTTACTACTGGTATAATATTCTGTCTAAAGAAATTTCTTTAATATTTCTTATAGTGCTGATCTGCTGCTAGTGAATTCTATTACCTTTTATTCATCTGAAAATCTTTATTTTGCATATTTTTTTGAAAACATTTTCATTGGGCTAGGAATTTCTGATTAACAGTATTTTGTTTCAGAATTTTAAAGATATCACTCCATTGACTTCTGGCTTGTTTTTTTTATTACAAGTCTGCTCTTCTCATCTGTTTCTTGTATGTAATTTGTCCTTTTTCTCGGCCACCAATATTTTGTCTGTCTTGTTCATTTTCAGCTGTTTGGCAACAATAGATCATGTTTTTGTTTGTTTTAAAATCCTGCTTGGGTACTCTGAGGTTCTTGGATCTGGTAGAGGTCTTTTTTTTTTTTTTTTTTGAAAACTCTCAGCCATTATCTCTGCAAATATTTATTTTCTCATTCTTGGTCTCTTCTCTTCCTAGATTTCTAATTTAACACATATTAGACCAGAGTTTTCCCACAGTTCTTTGATACTCTCTTCTGTATTCTTCACTTTTTTAGTTTGATTTCAATTGACCTATATTCAAGTTCTGACTATTCTCTGTTTTCATGAGTCCTTCATGAGCATCCTTTGTGATAAATTTTTTCTAGCATTTCCTATTTGATTCTTTGTTAATATTCACGGAAATCCCCCCATCTGTTCATGTATATTGTCTGTCCTTCTCATAAAAGCACTCAACACATCAACTAGTTACATAAAATTCTCTGATATTTCCAAAACTAGTTCATCTCAATGCATGGTTTATTAATTAGTCTGCTGTTGCTTGGCAGATGACTGTTCTTTTCATTTTGTAATTTTTTGATTGCATGCCAAATAACATGTATGAAACAGTGGAGACTGAAGTAAATACTATTTTTGCCTGGGGCACTGCTATTCTGCTAGGATGTTAGGGTGAAGCAATCTGGTCAGGAATTAAGTTGGAATTAAATTCTGTTGTTGTAATAGTTATCTTTAGTACACCACTTCAAATTTTTCTGTTACCTGGTGCTTAGGGTAGGGGCTGGAGTGCTAGAGGATTTTTCTCAATGTTCCTTCTTCACCCTCAGCTTTTGGCCATCCCTATGTATCTGTGCCCCAGGATTCTCAGAGGTCCATGTTCTTGCCACCTTCCCAGTGTAACTTGCTATATTGCTTATCACTAGGAACAAGCTAGCCTATTTACAGGAAAGAGGGATATTTTTAATCATCTTGGTATAGTCTCAGTCTTGAGTGGGGATTGGAGATGACAGAGATCTTATGCATTTGGGGGAGCTAGGACTACATAATCCCAAATGAGACAGAAGCTCTCTTCCCTCAGCTATGAGCAAAAATGGTGATACTGCCATGTTGTGAGCAATCTAAAGATAAGAGTTCATACACAAGGACAGAGGTAAGAATTAAAGAATAGCAATACAAAGCCTCCTTGGCTGACCCAGACCCAAGTCTTACCCTACCTGTATCTTTTCATTTATATGAACTGAGAAATACTTATGGTTTAGGCAACTCTTTTTACATTTCTTGTTACATTTCTTGTTACTTACATTTCTTGTTACTTACAACTAAGAGCACCCTAAATGATAAAACCACCATGAGCTCTCATAATCTTCCCTTATAAGCAATGATAGTAAAGAAATATATTAGAAGCCTTGGTTTCTGATGATATTGTGCAACTTGAACTAGCACCTTTGAAGCCAGGTTAGGTGAGTGCCTTGGTCATCTTGTTCATCCAATGAGGGACGTCTGATAGAAAAATTATAATGCACCAATTTATAACACTACTGAATTGTACTAGAGCATTTTAGGTTGCATGATCTTTGAGATCTAAAGAAATTTCACAGAAAGATAAAGATGCTGATACCTAATTTATCTGTATCCTCAATAACCCAGGGGATTTTGAAAATTAATGTCAGGGATTTTTATTCTTTAGTTTTGGCTATAAAGCCACCCAGTGAAATAGAACAATCATATTATGAGTTCTTACCTATAAAGGATGATATCTCAGTAGTTTATTACTTCAGTACAACTGGTAAATGTTAGTTGAAAAAAATTTTAAATAAAGTACAAGAAAGAAAAGATTAAGCCAAAACCTTGCTTGTCAGAGAAAACCATTGTATACATGATGATGAGTAATCTTTTATACATCATCTATGAAACATGTATTTGAACATATATGTATACAGACTTAAATTAGCTGGATATTATGAAGGTACAATACACATTTTCACTACACAATATGTGCAATTCTTTCCTATCATTTTGGATCAATTCCTTACTTTCTATAACTCCATATTATAGGAACTTGGAGAAACTTATTCAAATCCCTATTTATTTCCAGTTTAAAAAATTATTCTCATTGTAAAATTTTTTTTCTATTAAAATTGCTTTATCATACATTATTCTATATTTCCTGTAGGTATGCATTTACATATATATGTATATATTATATATACACATTATATATATATAAAGTATATATTTAAATATATATAATATATATAATATATATTATGACACTTGTCTAACAAACTTGTGTATTTTTCACTCCCAACAGAATGTATTGTTTTTGTAAGATAGAGACCAACAAGTAAAAAATCCTATCTTATGTAACCAATATATTTGATAAGATGTTTAGAGAAATTCAAGATTTTTCCTTTCTTTGTGTGACTGGGAGGATAAGGATAGAACTTGATAAAATTAAAGCCCTCCAAAAGCATCACAGATTCTGTCTAAGGAGGTCTGAATTGCACAAAGGCTTTAACTCTTAGAAATCGGTTAGATCCAAAGAACTTTGATGTCAATATGGAGACTAAAAAAACCAAAGTATTGTAATTTTGAGTTTTATTAAGAAAGTATTTTTCATTAGTAACCATTTCTGACACTTTGCAAATATTACAGTAAAACTCTGCCTTAACACACAGGGCAGGGGTAGAAAGTCAATTACGTAAAATGCAGTGTAACCAAAAACATTATCAGTTTGTACTGTCATTTAAAGTGCACATATGTGTACACACACACACACACACACACACACACACACAAACACATAGCTAAACTTAAACTGATGGTATACTGTATGGAAAGAGACCAAATGGTAAGAATTTAGCTTATCCTGCTTGAGATAGGACAAAGGATGGAAACCAATTCCAGCAAGGTTACAGCCAAATTCATTTAATTTCATACTGCAGTATTCCTTGATATCTATCCTACATTTCAAGTAAATTTTCCCACTTGAAGTGCTTATATTAAGATTACTTGCAGGATTCTTCCTCCAAATACATTTTTATATTGTTTTCTTGGTAGGGGGTGGGGAATGAGCTTAATAAAATTTTCAAATATGACACTTTTATACATTTTTAGTCATTTAGCAAAAAGTATTGAGCACCTGCACTGAGTTATGCAATGTCATGGTTTTGTAACTCAGCAATGAATGAAGCCCTTTCTCTCACTAAAGCTTATGTTAGAGTGGACATGGATTTAGGCACACTCATCATTGTATTTTTGTTACTTTTATCTTTTATAAGCCCTAGTACAATGATAATTAAGTCATGTGCAATGCCTGTTAAAGTTGTGACAAAACCCATTATGGAAACTCTCGTTAGATATATCTGCTGTGTGGTCTGACTATTGTGAATACATTAAATTTTCATTAAAGAAATTCTTTTTCTACTATAAGAACTCTAGTGCTTTGAAAATTTCAGTTCCTATTTGAGGACTTCAAAACAAACAGAACTGTTTCATAGAACTTCATTTCTGTATGGGTTCTCTGATGAAGGATAATCCTTACCATACTCTTCACTTTTATAGAATTTATCACCACTATGGACTCTCTGATGAATAAGTAGACCTGAGCTCCAACGGAAACCCTTACCACATGCATCACACTTGTATGGTTTCTCTCCTGTGTGGACTCTTTGATGAGCCTGAAGATTTGATCTCTGACTGAAGCCCTTTCCACATACCTCACATTTGTATGGTTTTTCCCCAGTGTGGACTCTGTGATGAGCCTGAAGACTTGAAAACCCGCTGAAACCCTTACCACATTGTTCACATTTATAGGGCCTCCCTTCTGTGTGGACCCTCTGATGTGCTTGAAGGCGTGAACTCTCACTGAAGCCCTTTGTGCATACTTCACATTTGTATGGTTTCCCTCCTGTGTGGACCCTCCGATGTGCTTCAAGGCGTGAACTCTGACTAAAGCCCTTCCCACACATCTCACATTTATATGGTTTCACTCTAGTGTGGACTCTCTGATGACCTTGAAGATATGCCCTCTGACTGAAGCCTTTCCCACATACCTCACATATATATGGTCTCTCTCCAGTGTGGACACTCTGATGGCTTTGAAGGTATGATCTCTGACTGAAGCTCTTACCACACTCATCACATTGGTATGGCTTCTCTCCTGTGTGGACTCTCTGATGGGCCAGAAGAGTTGAGGCCTTACTGAAGCCCTTACCACATTCACCACATTTATAGGGTTTCTCTCCTGTGTGAACTCTCTGATGAATTTGAAGATTAAAGCTCCAACTGAATCCCTTCCCACACTCCTCACATTTGAACGGTTTTTCTCCAGTGTGGACTCGCTGATGGCCTTGAAGGTGTGAACTCCGACTGAAGCCCTTGCCACACTCCTCACATTTGTATGGTTTCTCTCCAGTGTGAACTCTCTGATGGCCTTGAAGGTATGAATTGCGACTGAAGCCCTTCCCACACTCTTCACATTTATATGGTTTTTCTCCAGTGTGGACTCTCTGATGGGCTTGAAGGTATGAACTCCGACTAAATCCCTTGTCACACTCCTCACATTTATAAGGTTTCTCTCCTGTATGGACTCTCTGATGAACATTAAGAACTGATCTATGACTGAACCCTTTACCACATGCATTGCATTTATATGGCTTCTCTCCAGTGTGGATTCTCTGACGATCTTTAAGTTTTGAATTCCAATTGAAGCCATTCCCACAATCCTTGTAAGCTTTTTCTCCAATGTGAATTTTCTGATGACCTTGAAGATATGAATTTTGGTTGAAGCTGTTACCACATGCATAATGTTTATATGGTTGTTCCCTAGTGTGGACTATCTGAAGGTCCTGAAAATGTGAGGCCAGATTGAAGTCATTACCACATTCCTCGGAATTATAAGGAATCTCTTCCATGTGAACTCTTTGCTGAATGTTAAGATTTGAGCTACAAATAAAACCCTTCTCATATTCCACATTTGTGTATAGTTTCTCTTCAGTGTGGATTTTCTGGTGGACTTGAAGACAAGAATTCTGATTAAAGACATTCCTATTCTCCTCATATTCATGGGGTTTCTCCACAGTACAGACCCTAAAAATACTATTAAGGTCTAAGCTATGACTGAAGTCTTTCTCATAAATATTGCATGTACAGGATGTCTCTCCTGTGTGAATAAGTTCACAAGTGTTAAGAGAGGAGCACTGACTGAAGCTCTCACCATATCCACACTTACATGGCTTCTCTTCTGTAGGTTTTCTCTGATGGGACTGCAGATGTGAACTCTCAAAAACACAACCATCTCCTCTATGAACACTTTGATGAATACAAAGAGCTGAACTGTAACTACAGCCCTTTCTACACGGACTGTAGGTGTGGCCCTTCCCTTCTAATTGTAACTTCTGATAAACTTCTAAGCTGGAGTCATCACTGAAGGCTCTTCTGTACTCATTACAGGGGTAGGGCTTTTGCCCTATTTGTATTAAGTCTTGATTAAGCAAAGAAACCTTCATGATGTTCTCTCCACAGTCATGGCAGCTGTAATTTTTTTCTGTTCTGTGTACTCCCACACTATCATTGTGATGTGAGACCCAACTGGTGCTGTCACACTTACAGAAATTATTTTTCATCAAAATTTGCTGACATCTACACTGATAATTATGTGACTCTGTCAGATACATTTTCCTCCAAGAATGCTGGGCTCTCCAAGATGGAAATTCTTGGCTTTTTAGGCAATTGGAAACATCCTCTATATGAGTCAGTATACAGTTCTCATCTTCAGATATATGAATTGGCACTCCTGCCCAAACCTGGCAGGGGAAATCACCTTGTTTTTGCAAATGAGAAATATTCCCTTGAAATTTTTTCATGGAATCTTGACACTTGGTTATTAAACCACCTGCACCTTGTTGCCAGGTCTGCCAGGATGAAAGCTCCTTGGGAGAAATGTAGCCTAATCCCACTTCTTGATTACTCTCCATACTATGTTGACTCTTGGTTCCTATAATGATAAAGAGAATTTAGACATATGCACAAGTGAATGTTTTTATTCAGAGATTTCAAAATTTTACCCTTAACTTCAATGAACTACAGGAAAATTCATGTTACTACTCCGAAGAATACTTAGAAAGTGGCTCTTCTTTGGTTATATCAGGAATACAAGTAGAACCCACATAATTCAGGCTATCTGTATGCCTGAAAATCAAGGCTTTGCAACACAACGTGAAAACATCAAACATGGTGGCCCTGTTCAAAAGGCCTAGTAAAACCATATATGTATTAGCATGGGTTTATCATGGATTGTGTGGAGATCCCAAGGACAAACCAGAAGGGGATATTATCAAATTGGAAACAATAGGATTCAAGTGGACAAATGCTTTTCGTCCTAATAACTTTTGCTTTTTTCTCTGGCATGTGGGTATGGGAATGTTTTTGTGTTAGGGCACAGTGTTAAATGCTGTGCACACAAAGGTAAACACAGACCCCTGCATCATAGGGCCTCTAATAAGCTATCTTCATGAGATAATAAACTCAGATTCTAAGTCACTGTATGCCATATCAGTTTCAACTTAAAAAAAAATATTTTACAATTAGCAAAGGCTATTGTATAGGTCTGAATGTGAAGCACTGTGACAGAATTCAACTCCAAAGACAGAAAAAAATGGAGGTGGAGGGACAGAGCACAGCCAAGTTCCCTGGCACCTTTAGGTGTCCTTTGAAGCACACCATCAAAAACCAAAACTCAATGAACACTGACTTTGCGTTGTGTCCTTTTACTAGAAAGATACTTTAACATTTAGGGAATTTGAAGTACCAAAAGAAATGAAGAGAGGCACATTTGGGTGGAAATGATCTGTCACTTAGTTATTAACATTCAGCTTCCAAGCAGACAGTAAATCTTCAAATCCTGGTAAGAAGTATTCTCCCTGCGGACACTGGATTCAACGTGTACTTTTCTAACACCTGGCAGCACATCAATTCTCTACAGCATCCAGAAAAGAAAGCAGTAAAACAGGATTCTTTTCATACTTTCTTTTTTGTCTGTCCACACTGGAACATATTATCTACAAGGACAAGGACTTTATTTCCAGCAAGTAGGAGCTGCTCAATAAGCATATAATGAATAGATCACAGGGTGAGTCATTCTCACTCTCAGAATTAAAAAGACATGTATATGTGTTGTTTTTCATGGGAAAGAAACTGGTGGTGGTAATTTTGCCACAAAGTTGAAAAACTATGTAAGAGGTAGGGCTACACTTATGGGACCACCTGCTAATGAGAAAAGCAAAGGTCACAGGAATCTCTTGTGGATTGAGTCTTTTTCATTTTTAAAATAACTTCAAATAGTGTATTTTTTTTTTTTTTGTATAAAATCTTATGGGTAGCCCCACATTATCCCCAACTTAAAAAAAAAAAAACGAAAATGCCACACTGATGACTGGGTGGCACTAGGCTCTGGGGCACTACAGTGACTGCTTGGTAACACTTTCTGGCACATCCATAGGTACTCCTCTCGGTACTTAAAAAAAATGCTAGTGGGGTGCCTGGGTGGGTCAGCCAGTTAAGTATCCAACTCTTGTTTCAGCTCAGGTCATGTTCTCATGGTTGTTAGATCGAGCCCCACATTAGACTTTGTGCTGGGCATGCAGCCTGTGTAAGAATCTCTCTTGGGACGCCTGGGTGGCTCAGCGGTTGAGCATCTGCCTTTGGCTCAGGGCGTGATCCTGGAGTCCCAGGATTGAGTCCCACATAGGGCTCCCTGCAAGGAGCCTGCTTCTCCCTCTGCCTGTGTCTCTGTCTCTCTCTGTGTATGTCTCTCATGAATAAATAAATAAAATCTTAAAAAAAAAAACTCTCTCTCTACCCTCTGACCTTCCCCCAAACTCCTCCACCAAAAAAACTCACTTATTGGTGTCTCTGGCTTCTTAAAAGCCAAGCTTCCAGTTATCACATTAATATTTTAGCACCTAAAGATGAGGTGAAGGGACATACTGCAGGAGGCAGATAAAGTAAATAGCTTATGTGGAGAAGTTTGCCATCCAGCTAGAGTTCATAATGCTTACAGTCTTGTTTGGTATCATCAGAAACACTCAGTATACATCCATAAAGATATAGTTTAATATATCTTTTGGGACTGACATGGTGGTTTGAGGACATGAAAGTGGCTTGCTAGTCAAAAAACAGTTTTTTACAAAGCCATTTCAATAGAAATTTGTACATCATTTATGACATGACCCTTCTTTTTTTTAATTTTTTAATTTATTTATGATAGGCACACAGTGAGAGAGAGAGAGAGAGAGGCAGAGACACAGGCAGAGGGAGAAGCGGGCTCCATGCACCGGGAGCCCGATGTGGGATTCGATCCCGGATCTCCAGGATCACGCCCTGGGCCAAAGGCAGGCGCTAAACCGCTGCGCCACCCAGGGATCCCTGACATGACCCTTCTCAAATGTTTAAGAGATTAAAGTTTCATTTTGATGGTGGCTTTACAATGTTAAAGCAATGCAGGAAGGGGGGAAAGGTCATTTCACCTAGTTTCAGGCTCTATGGAAAAGATCACACTCTTAACAGTAACTTGAACTTCCTTTATCCAGTGGTGCATACCAAAACACCTTGTCATTTCCTTTCCTTCTCTCAGCATTTAAGTTCTATCTTAGTATCAAAGGTAGGGTACCAATGAGAAATTGTTTTAAGGAGCTCCAGTCGCATAATTGGTTTGCATGTGGTATTTACATGAGAAATGATATTAAGTCATATTCATAAATGAACCTATTCGATGGAGAAAATATGCACTGCAAAAGAGCACTAAAATATCTCATTTCAAGTAGGAAAGCTGAGAATTTATTTCATCTCTTTAGTGATCCTGTTTTAAAATTGGAGAAAGTCAATCATTCCAGCATCCACCATGAACCAACTCAACAACAAAAATGTTATAGGTTGTTGTAAACACCAAGTAACTCCTTTAAATTTAATAGTTAGCTAGTTAGTTAGTTAATAATAAAGAATTAAAAGAAAAAAACTCAATTTACATTTTCCTTTTTCTCTCTTCCTTCAATAGAAGCTAGTCAAGAATATCAATTCAGATGACCCAGGCTGAGATGGCCCTGCATTCTTACTGACCTTTAAGGCAGTAAGAGAAAGGAAGGCATTTTGCAGGCAGTAGAGGATACAGACAAATGCTTACACAGCTGGCTACTCTCCTCACCACATCTGAGACTTAGCTCTGTGAGAGTATATTTAACCTTTGGAGGATTTCTTGTGTCTTCACTGCTTTTCCTCACAACTGAATGAGTTTTTTCTGTTTTGGAAGATTATTAGTTATTGATTCAATTTCCTTAACAGATTGTCAATTTCTTGTGTAAGTTTTGGCAAATTCTTTCATGGAATTGGTCCATTTCATCAAAGTTATCAAATGTGTGGGCATAGAGTTCATCCAGAGTATTCCTTTTTTATCCTTTTAATGCCCAAAGGACCCGAAGATGTCTCCTCTTTCATGTCTGATATTAGTAATTTACATTCTCTCTCTTTTCTCCTTAGTTGGCCTGGCTAGATGCTTACTGATTTTAATTTTTCAAAGAATCAGTCTTTGTTTTCATTTTTTTTTCTATTGGTTTCCTGTCTTCAATTTGATTTTTGCTCTAATTCTTATTATTTCTTTTCTTTCCTTCTTACTTTAGATTTATTTTCTGTTTTTTATTTATTTTTTGTGTATATATATATTTTTTAAATTTTTATTTATTTATTTATTTATTTATTTGTTTGTTTATTTATTTATTTATTTATTTATGAGAGAGAGAGAGAGAGAGAGAGAGACAGGCAGAGGGAGAAGCAGGCTCCATGCACCGGGAGCCTGATGTGGGACTCGATCCTGGGTCTCCAGGATCGCGCCCTGGGCCAAAGGCAGGCGCCAAACCGCTGCGCCACCCAGGGATCCCTTTTTTGTATATTTTTTTTATTGGAGTTCGATTTGCCAACCTATAGCATAACACCCAGTGCTCAACCCGTGTTCTTACGGTAGATTTAATTTGCTCTTCTTTTTCTCATTTTCTAAGGTAGGAGCTTAGATGGTTGATTTTAGATCTCTCTTCTCTTCTAATATATGTCTTCAGTGCTTTAAATTTCCCTCCTAGCACTGCTTTCTCTGCATCCCACAAATTTTGATAAGTTGTGTTTTAATTTTCATTTAGTTCAAAATATTTTTAAATTTCTCTCAAGATTCTACTTTAACTCATGTTAGAAGTGTGTTGAATCTCCATATATTTTGGGATTTCATTTCCCAGTTTAGTTTATTGATTTCCAGTATAATTTAACTGTGGTCTGAGAGCAGACATAGTATGATCTCTATTCTTTTAAATTTGGTAAGGTGTGTCTTATGGCCCAGAGTGTGAATGTCCCATGTGAGCTTGAGAGGAACTCTACCTTTCTAATCTATCCATGTTAAAAATGGCTCCAACACCCCTGCTTCATGCTACAATTTTAGAATCACAGTTTTTTTTTTAAGATTATTTATTTATTCTTGACAGAGAGAGAGAGAGAGAGAGAGAGAGAGAGAGAGAGAGAGAGAGATAGGCAGAGACTCAGGCAGAGGGAGAAGCAAGAAGCAGGTTCCATGCAGGGAGCCCGATGCAGGACTCAATCCTGGGTCTCCAGGATCATGCCCTGGGCTGAAGGCAGTACTAAACCGCCAGGCCACCAGGGCTGCCCAGAATCACAGTTTTAATTCAGTCTGCAAGGGGAAACATATAATGTATGAAAAGAAGAATAGGTTATGTAGAGTGGGAGCAGAGGGGCAAATGCAGAAAACAAGGATGCCCCTTTATATTAGAATATAAAATTGGCCAGCTTATCACAGCCTGAGATCTGATATTAGAACCACTATTAACAATCAAAAAAGTTATAAGAAAAAATAGACTAAACATATGTGTAATTAAAAAAAGACATCTGTCATATTTTATTAGCAACATGCTATTTTCTCCACATCTTTCTTATGTCTTCTTTCTT